CGTGATTTATACACATACATAAAACTAATTTTAGATACCAATATTTTGACGTTCTGTGCATAAAATTTTTCTTAAATAAAAATTCAACAGAAAGTGGTTTATAAAGATTACGGCCCTCAGCATAGAAGGTAACAAAACAAGGTCCTCCTGGAGAAGGAAGATACAAAATTCGTAACAAAATTATGTATCTTTAATTTCATTTTCCGCCGTTTACCTTCATATTGTAACTGTCATATCACATTCGCGTTTGCACGTCATACGACTTAGTTACATTAAAATTGCATTTGTTCAATACCAAATAGCACAAGCCGACCTAGTTTCATTATTCCAATTCAAACTTTGTTAGTATATAAAATAAGGGTTGAAATTTCCGTCGGCGTCATGATGCGACGTTGACACCACGTAAACTTCGTAAATTCTCTCGTAGTCTAAGGTTAGGCTTAAAAGCTATCATTAAAATTAAATTAACAAAATGTTTATTAACAAATTTAAATATTAACATGGGGATATTTCGCCTGTTTTCGGAAAAAACAACTGAATTTCCCGCTATCGTAGCAATTTTTTATAATGCCTGGGAAGATGTTGAAGCGTCAGACTTATTATTTATATAGGACAAAACAACTGAGACTAATTTGACCTTCTTTAAACAAAAGATTATCAAGAAAAGAATTTCTTTATTCTGAGAAAGTTTTTAATAACAATTATTTTTTTCCTTAAAGTTTTAAAACATAGTCTGGAAAACTATATAAATCCACAAGTTTTGTTGATAGGTTCATTTACTACAGAAAGGAATTTTCGCTATAAAAACAAGTGCAAAAAAGCTAAGAAAATCTAATTTATTCACTGATATCCATATTTTAGAGAAAATTATGCTCAAATTTAGAATTAACCCAATTAAGATTATCAATGAAATTAAACCGCAAAACCGGCGAAATGACCTTGTCCAGGTAGAAATTGTTACTAGTGATGGTTTTTATATTAAAAAAATATATATAAAATAATTATATTGCAGATAATAAAATTATTGAAAAGTTAAGTTTCCACTAATCTGAACGCGAGCAGTATATGAACACCGTAAAAATATGATAAGTTTAAAATAAAAGTATTTCGTTTATCAAACAGCTTTAAGAAACTGCCCGTGTTAAGGATAGTGGATAAGACATTTTAGGCATTGATTTTGTTCAAAGTTGCTATTATCGATTTCTAATGTTATGGTTAGAGTAAATTTTTGTACATCAAAACCATTTGTCATGTATGTACAAAAAAAAATAAACGAATACTCTGTAACTATTTGGACCAATGTGTAGTGGTCCTAATTTTAGTAAACTTACTAAGTCAGTAATACTTGTATAATAAATTGCCTTTTTATCATCTGTAAGTGATTCATTTCAGATGTCACAGTGTAGTGATATTGTGATATCAAATAGATAGAAAAACTTATCGCCAGAAATATTAGAAATCGAAATGGCGGCGTAGATTGTTAATAGTGATATTACAAAATAAGTAAAAGTAAAAAAAAATGTTATTGATTTTAAAAACAAAGTAGCTAAGTTCTAGTGATTTTCATCATGTTGTAAAACGATTTAAGGACAGTTGGATTTCTGATTGGTATAAAAGTCGATGGTTTACTGTTTAATGTTTCAGCAGTATTAATATTATTATTTTTATTCAGTCTTTTTGCCGAATTTTCAAACATCGTTCTCTACATTTCGTTGAAACAAAAAAGAAAAAAATAAGGTTGCATGTATTACATTTCTTAAAGATTAATAAAAAAAAATCTTTAATGGCAAGAATATTATTTCTTAATCACTCTATTACTTAAAATAAGGAGTATGGAATATTTTAATAAAACCTACTGAGAAAATTCATTGGAAATAAATAGAAAACTTCAAAATGCTCTAATGAAAACTAAAATCCACTTCAAATACATTAATATATCATTAAATATAATGGCGTCGCACTGCCGCCATTATAGGCATACATACATACTTACAAGATAATCGCAAAAAGATAACCTATCCTTCGCAGTCGGGTAAAAAGTATTTTGTAGAACTCGGCAAATCGACTGTTGTTTTATGTATTATTAAAAATTTTCGCTGTAGGTACATTCATAAATTGTTGCTCTTATCAAAGCTTTTATGATTGTTGAGAATAATATATATACAGTTTATCGCATCCAAATGTAAATTGATTGGTTCGTTAAGGTTTTGGTGATTTTTAAATTGTTTTCTTATGAAATAACATAACCATGAGACAGCATGCGGGCGACGGTATTATGAAAAATTACAATAAAAATAATAAAATAGTGAGTGAACATGTGTTTCATTTCTAAATAGAGCCGGTGATTCCTCAGATAAGTAGATCATTCATATAATTAAACTCACTACATATAATTAAAATCTAAAAAACTACCTTATTAATTATTTGTCACTTTTTGCTCGTCAATTACGTACCTTATTATAATCGTACTTTTACTTATGTACTTGTAGTGAGAAAAACAATTGCCACGGATCTGACGCCAAGAAAATTTTTTCCAATAACCACAAAATTATGATAGACAACATTTTCAGATATTTTCAACTTATTTCTGTTATTCCGAAATTGTAATATCAATGTCTAGTAAGATTTAATGGCGTATTTACACTGGTGATAGACATCATAAATAAATCATTACGGCTTACGGGCGATTTTGTTCCTCGCTTTCATTGAATGGTCCTTGTTTTATTGACCAATGAGATGAACTGAGTGTGCTGAGTAGTAAGAGTAAGTTAACGTTAACGCGTTCACTAGTTAGCGCGTTAAGAATTTATATGGAGATTTGTAGTTCTTGGTAGTTACATTTAGGTGTGCTGTACTGGATTCCATACTCAAATCTTAACGCGCTCACGATCAATGTGAATGTAAACGTTAAAAAACTTACACTAAACGCTCTGATAATCTGATAATCGACCAGTGTAAATTATCGTTACATGGCAATAACAAGGACAAAATGCGTTCCCACTCCATCTTTTCACCATTAAAACATTAGTAATGGCTAAGTAACAAATACTATTAACTAACAACAAAGCACCCAAGATTATGATAAATGAAATACATATACCATGAAAGTTTTTTTTATTACAGTAAACACATACATACATTACAAAAATAAATGAAGCCCTTTATAACAAATTTCAGTAATAAGCTTTCAACATTTTTATTATTTAAATGCATAAATATTCTAAATGTCTAAAAGCTAAACAAACAAAAAAAGAAATTCCTAGAATGAAATGAATTTTTACATATACATGTTTTTTTTTTCTAAAAAATGTTAGTTAATTTATGTAAAGTATTTTCTCCAGAAGCAATACATGTTCAAGAATTCATGATCTGTTATTTGAATTGCATTGTATTGTTGTATTGCAAAATATAATATAATTCATGGCATATACGCTGAAAGGTATGTTTCATTCTAACAAAATAAGTCAAAATGTCAAGTATTTGATTTCTTATAAATTCTCCTTTCATTAATACAGAGTATTTTACGATTACTTTAATGATTATTACGATATTAAAGAAAATATAGCAAATATATTAAATTTTAGGCCTTAATACTTAAAAAAGGAAAGTGACTTTTTAAACATTCGTAATAAATCAATTTCATGTTTTTGTAGCAAGAAATTGCTAATATAATTAACCATACATTCAACTATCAATATTATTATATAGTATTTTTGTTTCATCAATACAGTGAATGGGGTTATAAAGTTTTGACTGACCTAACATAACAGTATTTTGACAAGGTTGGATAGCTGCTCTCATAAAAAGATAGGAACTGAATTAGTCGATTTGATTTGAAGAATTACGTTGTGAGACTTGTGCATTTTTGTACATGTTATGTTTTTGATAGGATTAAAGTTTTCACGACGACAAAAATCAAGTAAGTATTATTTGTTATAAGAAAGCCAGTTTAAAATCCCATAAAACGACCAGGACAGATGACGTAATATATACCTATATCGATAGATACATAAATAAGGAATTTCAATGTTAATGCCTAATCTAAATAATATATTAGACACTAAAATACTTAAGCTGGAGAAAAAGCCTAGTTCAAAAACACTTTTTTTTATTTTAAATTATCGTTTAACAGAAAACTACCTACACAAACATACAATTTCCCTAATTTAATTTATATTAAGTGTAAAGATATAAGATTTTTCGGGGTTATTAAGTTCTTTCTTAATTGTGCCCAAAATATTGACCATCTAATTTCTATTAATACAATCACAATTGCTTTTCTTTGACTTACACATTCTATAAAAAAAAATTAAATAGGTACGCCATTGAACATAAATATGTGCTAATCTCCATATTTATCTGCCAGCACTGACTGAGTACAATGATTGAGCAATGGCTATCATTGGAGCCCACTTGTCTATCACCGATGCTATACACTAGATAGGTATTAATTCTTTTTGTAAGTAACTATACCTTTTATGGCCGTCACTATATTACTAAATTAATCTGCATTCATAATAATTTAATATTTGTACGTAGTTACTAAATACGTTGCTTATTTGCCAAATATTAAAAAATTGTGATAGAGTAACGTTGTCAAAATTAAAGTGTTTCCACCAGTGCTGAGCTAAGCAATAAATATAAAGATTTTCGAAGGTGTATATCATTTATATATATTTTGTTATAGAGTTTAGTTAACCCACTGTGGGAAAATAACCTTAGAGACTTTTTTTGTAGTTAGGCCTTTTATGAAAAATTCGAGTACAAACAGTCCATTTTCAATTACTGAAAATGGACTGTTCAACAAGAAATCCTAAGCCTCTGACAATTTCTAACCTCAAAGTTGTCATTCATGAAACTTTCCTTCTTACCCCGAAGGGATTTCAAGTGAGCAGAGAATAACTCTATTATAGTAGAGAACAACTCTATTATAATTAGAGAACAACTCTATTATAATTTGGCTTCTGTATTATACCCGATTTATTTCGAGTAAAGACGTCTTACAACAGAGCATGTCGCAAACGTGTGCGGCAGAAGAGTAGGAACGCCACCAATGCTGCGAAAGCTGCACCGGCTAATAGTGTGTCTTCACGTCTGGATCCATATGCTCTTTCTACCACAGCACTCTGTAAAAAAAAAACCAAACAGTTATGAATATATTTATATAAGAAAACGAGATTCACAATCATTTAATCGTCATCAGTATCGGCCTATATTTCCCATGTTAGGGCTTCAGGCCTGTCGATTTGATGGAATCGAATAAGACAAATGGGCTATTATAACCCACCGTGAGCCCAATATGAATTGGTGTGCACTGACAAATACAGCTATGGCAACGGCAATGCCTTCCGAAGCATGAAGAAGGCTGAGATAAATATTTTTTGGTCACCTATTCAGTGACTGGCCTTTACAGGTGTTTCGATTAATGTTTTTATACAAATAATACAAATACTACAAATTAAACAAATACTACAAAAAACGTAGATACAAAAATTCAACTACCTATATCTTGACCTAAATAATTAATTCACAGAACTCACCCATCCTCCATGCCGTATTGCCCATGGCGTAGCAAACTTAGCAACATGATTCGCTGCCCAATCTGTGGCTCGACACCAGCCGCCTACGCGCACTGCGCGAGCGCACACTTCGCATAAGAACGCTAACACAACTAGTGCTCGCTGCTCTATGTGTGCACATGCCTATAATAAAAAAATATAATTTAAATATATAAAATAAATTTAACCTCTCTACCCAGAACAAGTCATCCTTTCGGTACCAATACGATTGCACACTAGCTTATTCGATGTGACTGATGTAATTTAGTTTTTATTTAAACTGATTATAGGAGATATAAATATTCACCAAAATTTTATTTTGGATTTGTTTAGTTTTCTACAAAAGTCAATTTTAATATTTTTACTAAACAAACAAAATAGAGTAGCTCAGTGGCGTATTGGATAAGCGCGCCCGCGATCATTGTCGTTAAGCAACTTTCGCAAGGGACCGACCCTTGACGGGATGGGTGACCAAAAAAAAATTGTCTCGAGGTACTCTGTGCTTCAGAAGGTACGTTAAGCCGTCGGTCCTGGCTGCATTCGCAGTCGTTAATACCCTCCAATCAGTATTGGGCCAGCGTGGGGGGTCATGGCCCATCCTCCTTAACCATCCATAAGGAAAGCCTGAGCCCCTGCAGTGGGGACGTAAAAGGGCTGATGATGATGATGATGATTAAACAAACAACAAGAAAACTTATTTGTTTTCGGTTTTAAAAAATTTTCATCAAAATCAGTCCAAAATAATATCACGAAACATATTAATAAACATTCAGACGAATAGATACTTCATTTTTTAAAGTCGGTTAAAGGGTAAAATGGTAAAAATAGGTCATATTAAACATGAAGTCAAACCTGGCACAGCTCTTGCATGATATCTTCAAAAGCAACCTCATCTAGACTTAAAAGTGATATATGTTCAGCTCTGGCAGCCAGCCTCCCACGGGCCTTCGACTCCCTAAACCTCCGAGCAGCCCGTTCCAGAGCTCGCCAATCACGCCAATACATCCACCATCCCCTATGATACAACAATTATATTGACATAAAACATAACATGTGCCTTTACTTCAAGCTAACTTTTATATGGAATGGCAAATTTCTATACATTTTTTAAAATGCTTATAAATTCATCAGTTCCTAGCAACCCTGAGAATTTTATAGCACATTCTTTAAGACAAATGTCAATATATACATTGTGAATGTAAAATTCATCAAATAAATTTCCTATTTACCACTCAATAAAAGATAATCTGGTAACCTATATCCTATCCCAAGATCGATTTTATATCTATACCAAAGGGTTTAGCCGGATACGTATGACGAGTCGGCCCCCAAATGGGAATCGATATTGAAACTTATGTTTTAATATCGACTTGATGTTCAAACACGATTTATGTACTTTTCGCGACCGACTTCCGCTTTGACCTTGAGATAGAGAGCAAAATATCCGTATGCTTGACTATTACTGAATGTGATATATCTCTGAAGCTTATTAAGATAAAAAAGTGAAACTAACGCGAGGTGTTAGGTTACATTACAGAGTATATCACATATATTTTTTTATAATTTTTAGAATAAAAAATTACATTAAAATAATAAAAAATAAAAAAATCTTGTTTTTTTTTCTGAGTTCTCTGTGACTTACAATCACGAAATTAATATATGTTATGCTCCTTTGTGTGCTCTATTACCCATAAAAATTGCGTGAAAAAAAAGTTGGTGCAACACAACGAAAAAAAATTATATGTGATTTCTGTCTTATGGTATACCCCTGTATTATAAGGTTTTCACATTACATCATTGTTTTTTTTTCCAAATTTCACATCAGCTTGTTTTAAAACATAAGTAACTAGTCTTAAGAGATGGGATAATAGTTAAAAAAGAAATGAAAAAAAAAACAGCCAGTGTTCAATACTTATTATTATTACTTTTTCGTGTCTATCAAAATACAAGAAACAAAATATTAATCATCGTCACTGTTGTAATTAATTACAATCGGAACACTTTGAGTCGCAAATAACTTAGTTAGGACCTCAGCAGGACGTACGATTTTGGACAAATATCATCCATATGATAGATAATAAATAATAGCTGCTACATGAGAACAGCATCCCACTGTACGTTTGCCATTGGGGCAAGCACAGCAATAACGAAGAATACTATTGTAGTCATTACTTTCGGAAATATAGTGAATGTAAATTCGATAGACTTTTCTATTTATATGTCTTGATTTCACTTCTGCTTTGATGATATTAGGTGCTGATTTCACATATTGTACTGAGAGATTATTTTGATCGTCCATTATTTCGGCCAAGTTAAATGCTGCACATTTAGAAGTAGAAGCTTTTTTGTTAATATATGGGATAAGTCGACACTTCTCACAAAAAATATCATTAACTATTACGATTTTATTCAAACAGTCACTAAACACTTTCGCTTCTTCTTCATTTTTTATAATTTTTTTATAACCAGGAATCTTACACAGGTACTGTACTTGTTACAATTTTTACACTTTTTCGACATTATTACTTAATAATGATTTGGTTCGATAGTTAATAATTTCAAAATGCTGATACAAAATACCTATGACAGAATTTGAGTCCCAAACTGCCTTCTTGTGTAATACAAATGACTGCTACTTTAGCTAAACAAACGATGCAGTAAACAGCTCGATAACAAGTTCGAACTTGTTTGTTTATACACTCACACTACTTATGTTTCACTTACTTATGTTTCACACTACAAGGCGCGAATCACATATAATTTTTTTTCGTTGTGTTGCACCAACTTTTTTTTCACGCAATTTTTATGGGTGATAGAGCACACAAAGGAGCATCACATATATTAATTTCGTGATTGTAAGTCACAGAGAACTCAGAAAAAAAAACATGTTTTTTTATTTTTATTTTTTTAATGTAATTTTTTATTCTAAATATTATAAAAAAATATATGTGATATACTCTGTAATGTAACCTAACACCTCGCGTTAGTTTCACTTTTTTATCTTAATTAGCTTCAGAGATATATCACATTCAGTAATAGTCAAGCATACGGATATTTTGCTCTCTATCTCAAGGTCAAAGCGGAAGTTGGTCGCGAAAAGTACATAAATCGTGTTTGAACATCAAGTCGATATTAAAACATAAGTTTCAATATCGATTCCCATTTGGGGGCCGACTCGTCATACGTATCCGGCTAAACCCTTTTATTGAAATGATAATAATAAATTAATGGTATCTTACTCATACCTCGGATCAGGTTTCGCTGGTGCAACTATACAAGGCGGCGGCCTCAGTTCCTCGAGTCTCAAGTGTTGAAGCAACAGTGCTCTGAACAGTCTAACGCCTCTTTCCTCCTCTTCCTCCAAGTAGTGGTTCCAATGACCCTGGCAGTCATCGCGACGCTCTTCATCCAAAGACACTTGACGAAGCAAAGGAGCTCTTGGTCCATCGTAATCTTCCAAAGGCTGCACGTTGCTGGCTGAAATAATTTTATATTTAAATAGTTAAAAAGATGATGATAAAATTGGAATTGCAAAGTCAATATTCTCTGACAGTATTAATGCATTTTTTTAGCTGTGGACAAAAATCAGTGCGAGTCTGCAACATTTAAAATACAGTAAGAAAATTTACAAAACAAATTGATATAAACACAAGTAAGTTGGTGTTATTGAAATATTTTAGACTGACTTTTTGACATTACCCCTTCATGATCCAGGACACATATAAAAATCAAGTTAATATTAATTAAAAATTTGGTATATTGCCTAATTAGAAGTAATACTTACAGTACTATCAAACTTAATTAATTAATGAAGTTAATCAAATTAAAAAACACTTATCGTACATTTGTTGTAACACAATAAAATATAAATGTTGACAAATACATAAAGTTTCAGACAGAACTCAATATACATATAGTACGTAGTAAACATATAGTTAAAATATAGTATTATGCGTAACAAAGAACGTCAAATCAAATGAAACAACTACATAACATGTAGCTTAAATGCAATAGAAAATTATTATACACACCTTGAAGAACGATCGGTGGCACTAAATCCATTATAATTTAGAAAATAATAATGCACTACAGTTGTTGTGTTCCCTTAGATAAAGTCTAGAGAAGTAACACAGGATTAATGTTAAACATCGTCGACCTTGGGCATCGACAGGTCGCGACCCTGACATGGTTTTGGACGCATGCGCTTTGAGAACTTCCATCCTTGAGAACTTCAAGGGATGGAAGACTAATATGACTACGGAGTGTAGTTATATAAATATGCTGACACATTAAAGGAAAAGGAACTTAGCAAATATTAAAACAGAAAGAAATAAAAATAAATAAATATTATACAACATCACGTACATCGCTCAGATTCCAAGATGAATAGCTAAAGCCGTATTATGGAGTATCTGGGACATCTAAGGTACTACAACACCAGACCCGTTGACAATATAGAAAAGTTCGAACCCGGGACCTCAGAGATGGTGACATCTTGAAACTGGCGTGCGAACCACTCGGCTACGGAGATCGTCAAAAAAGAAAAAGGTGGTCAAATAAAAACTAAAAAAATAGAACCGTACAAAACTTTAAAAAGTGATAAATAATACTTATCTTAAAAGCAACTTATTCAAAAACTTTTATACCAAGGCGGAAGTTTTCTGTAGGCTATTATTAATTAAATGATAGCCGCCCGAATTCAATAGCAGTTACTCCGAAAGTGAAGGAAAAGGCTCCGAAACTATTAGAATGTTTGTAAAATTCTTTCATGTAAGGGGAGCTACATAATACGCGGGGGACATAGGCTATAATTTTAAGCAGGTGAAGGCGTGGGGAAACAGTTTGATAGAAATTGGTTCACAATTTAAGAAGAAATCAATGAACATGTCTATTTACATCAAACTATACATACCCGTTAAATAAAGAAAATCCTCCTTTCGGATTTTAAATGAATACAAAATACGCAATCTTTTCTTTTTTGACTGATAAAAACATGTCATCCAAATATTTAGGTTGTATCTGAAAGAATTAAAAAATCGGTAAAAAATTTGGCGGAACAATCTGGAACATAGTTAAAAAATTATGTAACCTCATCACCATCGAAAATATAACATCCTTTTCGATTTTGAAGTCGGTTAAAAACAGAGAAAGAACAAAACTTGTTAAATAATGAATTCCACAGAATTTCTTTAAAACATTTGGAAAATACCAAAGATCAAACTAAGATGTTAAATTTACATTTTAACGATGAGTAATTTTTAGTATTCCGATATTGTTAATTCTAAACCAAAGTAATAAATAAACAAGGCTAAATTTAAAGAAAGGACAAAAAATATAGGAAGAAAAAGTATTTTGAAATTCAATGATGCACTCCCAGAAGTAGCCGTCAAACCAATGGACTGCGTTGTGCTGTCGATGGTTTGATTGAATCGTCTCTAATAGTGAGGCCCAATTGTTATCGGCGCAGTGCCCGTTGTGAAACAGTCAAGCACACAGGAAGGAGCACATTGCTCCGGATTAGGGCGAGATAACCGTACCAGATATAAAACTATGTTCACATAAAAAACGGGAAATTATGAACGCACAAGTTTATAAAAGTGATGATAATGCTGAGAACTTAACAATGATCAGTTAAAGTGTTAATGAAGTGTTAAAATATATACAGTTCATGGAACATGACGATATGGGTGATAAAACTATATATAGTGAAAAGAGGTTGAAAGACGGCGCCCCCGCGGTGTGCTGCAAAATTTCGATATTGGCTATTGTTTGTACAATTATATCATTAGTCATCCAATTTTATAATTTAGGATTCGTAGATACAAAGGATTGTCTAGATGATAGAAAAAGAGATTTTATTAGAAATGTTCTGGAAAGTGAACTCGAGGAAAAGTTGGAAACTTATTTGTCTATCGTAACAGGACTAACATCAAACCGTTTCAAAAGAGAAGCTATGTTGGTAAGTCCCGGAAGAAAAGTGATTAAAATATGTAAAATCAATTATAAAATAGCTACATAAATGTGAATTATATGAATTATCACTTCACAGTCGATTTCCGACTTACTTTCAAGCAGTTAAAGTTTGGAATCAATTGGATTTTGGACGTTAGTAGGTATCAATCTTAACATGGTCACATTAAAAATATGTAATTAAATTCACCAAGTCTGGGTGCTGCACTCTGCATCTACCTCTGTTGCCGAATGGCTGATATGCTGGTTTGAATGTACTAGGTTTGATTTAGGGTTCAAACAATGAACCCTTCTATATTGTCTAGGGTCTGAGGGTGAGGTAATTGTTATGTGTGAGATTTTTCATAATAAAAGGTTTTGACCTACATAGTTGGGTATCTGAAACAATGTGATATTGTATAATATTTATTCATTAGAATCTTAACTGTGAAAATAATATTCTGAGCTAAAACCAAGAAAATTTTTAAAGAAACCTTCACCAATTCAAGAGGACAATACGGTAGCACCCCATGTAGAATTCTTCAATCCTAAAATGAGGCCCGAGTTGGAAGAGAAGGATGAAGCTGAGATGCGTAGGACTGGAGCGAAAGGACCTGCTCCTGGAGGTGATACGTGGGTCTGGCTGACCAGCTACTCCAGGGTACCAGTAAGTATAGTGTACTTTATAAAAACAGGCTAATAAGCCATCATTAGCTAGACTGGCTACTATGAAGCCATAGTCTTGATAACACTACCACAATGACCTACTCCTGATATTTAACTCTCTGTACCACGACGTTAGGATGTATATTAATTACAAAGACTTTGAATTTAATCAAAACATAATTTTCAAGTTAATTTTCATCAAAGTTCTATTACAAGCTTTGATAATAATAGCACAATTTATTGCACACGATAAAGTCACAAAAACAACTCGAAATTATATGCTATAATAATACAAAGTACACAAAAGGCCAACTTATTGGTAAACAGCAATCTCTTCTAGGCAACCTATTGAGGAGAATAGTAAAAGAATAGAGAAAATAGGGGGTATTGGGCGCAAAGGTCAGAAGACTATGAATATATTATCTTTACATAGGTATTAATCTATAAAAACTTTGTAAGTTGACATTAATATTAATATATTATTATTATACATGAATATTTCATATTGTTAGCGCCTGAACACATTCAACGGACTTAATTGCACATCATCGAATAACTATGACGTTCGGGCCATCATGACGCGTCACTCTTCATACTACGTTGTGAGTCGATCGAATAAACTACTGTATTTTTCATTCCGAGCGCATTTTCATTTTATCGAGCTCATGAGCTATTGGAAGTTTCTGCGACATTATATTAACCTGGCTTGTGAATAATAATTAAAACATTAAAAGCTGAAGAAATCTTCTATACAAATTGGACCTTCTCACTGGATACCTATAACGGATACCTATTAACCAGCGACCTAGACGTTATGGAAGATTACTCAACGGCTACAAAATTCCAAGATAAGGAGGCGTAGTACAGCTAAGTGGCAGTGTTTATCCGATTATTTCCTTGTATGTCTAATTTCTTTCCTTTAATTCCTAATTTTAACACGAACTTTAATTGCGTGAATAATTTTCAGACATACCTACATACTACGATATTTTATTTCTCATAGAAAATATTCCTTTAATTACATCGTTATTTATTGAAATATCTTATTATCTAATTATACGGACATTAATTACGTGTAATACAGATTTTAAACGTTAAGCAATAGCTCAAAATTGGTTAACTTGAGTTCATATTTGAGTAAACAGTTTTTATTTCGCCGTATTACATATTACACGGACTTTAATTACGTGTAATAGTAAATTATATGAAATTGTTTTACGTTAAGTTCATTCTCAAATTGCAGTATCTGATAAAATCGAGTCGAAACTGAAAACATATCGGAGGCGCGTGAGCTGACTGTCTTTCTACCTGTGCTGGCCTTGCTGTGCGGTGCTGTGCTTAAGCTGGCAAGTACATCACACTGCAGTATCCGCTTTAAGTATTCGTTCTATTGTTATCACCTTAATTTACGTTTACCAATTATATCAATTAGAAGCAAAAAATTGAATACTTTTATCACTTGTACCTACCTACATACATTTTTTAATTTTCATTTTGTTATCTATTTTCAATAATGACTAAACTAGTCGAATTAAAAAGAAAACGCAGTTCATATAAAGCTAAAATTACGCAATTTAAATCGTACTTTTCAATTCTTTCATCTATAGAAAAGCCTAGTCCAGTGCAACTTAGTGATTTAAACTTAAGATTAACAAAGATTGAGGAATGGTACGGTGAATTTGATGCATTACAAATTGAAATCGAAGGTTGCTTGGAAATTTCAGAAGCTGAATGCGAAAAAGAATATCTGTATCGAGAGCAGTTAGAGAGTGAATACTTTGCATTAGTTGGCAGCGCCCGCGAGTGGGTGAGCAGGTTTGCTTCGGCGCAGCAAGACAGTAAGTCTGACTCCTCGGCAGCAGGTACTGTACTAACAGCTGGTGCACCTACTTTAACTTTACCTACGATTCAGTTACCTACCTTTTCTGGTCGTTTTGATGAATGGTTACGATTTCATGATACCTTCACATCGCTTATTCATTGCAATGAAAATATTCCTAAAATTAACAAATATCATTATTTACAATCATCGTTAAAAGACAAAGCTGCGGACGTTATTAGCTCGTTAGATTTTTCTGCCAATAATTATGATATCGCTTGGCAGTTATTGTGTGAACGTTATCATAACAACAAGGTTTTAATAAACAACCATATTCAGGCCTTATTCGATATAGAAATAATTACAAAGGAATCATCTATTGCATTAAGAAACCTAGTTGACACAGTGAATAAACACCTTAGGGCACTTCAAAGTCTAAACATTAACACGCATAACTGGGATATGTTACTCATACATATGGCATCAAGCAAACTCGACAATGCAACAAATAGAAAATGGAAAGAGTACATTAACAATTTTGAAAAATACCCTGATTTAGAAAAATTTATAAAATTCATTAAAGATCGTGCCGGTTTGCTTGAGACGATAAATATGAGTCACATAAAACGCAGACATAGTGAACCAGCCAAGTTAAGCTCGCGTTCATTTGTAGCAAACACTAATAATAATAATAATACACACATACAACAAACTACACAGTATTCATGTCGTTTATGTAAACAAAATCATGCTATTTATCTATGCCCAAAGTTTAAATCTTTATCTGTCTCGGCTAAAATTAATAAGGTGAAAAAATTGAAACTTTGTTTAAATTGTTTACGACACGGGCATGAGGTAAATAAATGTAGATTCGGTCCGTGTCGAATATGTGCCAAATGGCATAACACAATGTTGCACACTGAAGACCAATTACAGGTCGAAACTAAGGAAACTCCTAACACATTAAACAACAACAATTGTTTAACTACACAAGAAATTATTGATCCAAAATTGTATGATGATGCTCACTGTGCAGAAGAGGGCAACCCGTCATACCAACCTGAGGTGGTCTTGTCATCTACACATAATAGTTGCGTTCTTCTGTCAACAGTTCTCATAGACGTAATTGACAATGATGGCATGCGTCACACAGTACGTTCATTACTCGATAACGGCAGTACCTCTAATTTTATAACCGACAAATTAAGAAATAAATTAAAATTACCTGTTTATTCAACTTCGAGAACAGTCGAAGGGATAAGTTGCGAGCCTATTCGTATAAATTTACGTTCTACTGTAAAACTATTTTCACGAACTGAAAATTATACAACTAAGATAAATTGTTTCGTTATACCACGCATAACTCAAACATTACCTGCTACGTATTTTGATATAAAATCATTAAATATACCTACCAACATTAAATTAGCTGATCCAACTTTCAACTTGCCGTCTGATATTGACATGTTACTTAGCGCTGATGTATTCTGGAATGTATTGGGCAATGAGCGCATTTCACTTGGTAAAAATAAGCCAATCCTCAATAGTAGTAAATTTGGTTGGTTGGTATCGGGTGCAATGCATACACACACACATTCACAGGGGAATAATAGTTCGGACAATCAACAATTTACATACATTAATACAGTCCATTGCAATTTATTGAACGAAGTTGAACTACAACACAAGCTTGATAGGTTTTTTGAATTGGAATCAGTACCTACACTACGTAAAACTACAAAACAAGAAAATGATTGTGAGTTGCATTTTATTACTACCACAACACGACAAAGTGATGGTCGATTCATAGTACAAATACCATTACAACAATCACCAGAGGTGTTGGGTGAATCTTATGATCAAGCCTTTAACCGGTTTTTGTCTCTAGAGCGAAAATTTGCGCGTTTTCCATTATTTAAACAAAAATATTGTGACTTCATTCAGGAGTATATTGATCTGGGTCATATGTCTTTAAATACTAGTAGTGGTGGGGATAAGTATACATATATTTTACCTCATCATGGTGTTTTAAAGGAATCTAGCCTCACAACAAAATTGAGGGTGGTTTTTGATGCTTCCGCGAGGACCACATCAGGTTTGTCATTCAACAACATCCAAAGCATAGGCCCTACTGTGCAGGATGACCTTATCAGTATTTTAATTCGTTTTCGACAACACAAGTATGTAGTCACATCCGATTGTGAAAAAATGTATCGATGTGTTCTCGTTGCAGACCATCAAAGATGTTTGCAGCAAGTACTTTGGCGTTTTAACCCTAATGAAGAATTGAAAGCATATAAGCTTAATACTGTAACTTATGGCACAGCATCGGCGCCATATTTGGCTACTCGTTGTCTTGTACAGTTGGGTCGAGAATGCACTGATCCATTGGTGCGCGAAACTATCATACATGACTGTTATGTAGACGATTATATAAGTGGGCATGACTCAAAGTCAACCCTTATACATATAATACGAGGTGTTATTGATCAATTAAAAAAGGGTCAGTTTCATTTGAGAAAATGGCGGTCTAATTGCTCAGAAATATTAGGCAACATCGAAGAAAATAATAATGGCGATGAATTGCTCAAGCTAATAAATGATGATGATGCAAAAACATTAGGTTTAAGATGGTCTTGTAAATCAGATACTCTTCTGTTCTCCGTTAACATTGACACATTATCGTTTGATAGATTGAGCAAGCGTTCAGTTCTATCTACAATAGGACAAGTTTTTGATCCTTTAGGGCTTGTTAACCCATGTATACTTAGGGGAAAAATAATTTTGCAAGCCCTTTGGGCGGCTAAAGTAGCGTGGGATGATCCCCTACCTCCTAAAATCGAAAGGGATTGGTTGACATTTTTGAACACTCTTCCACAGCTTAATAAAATTAATATTCCGCGCCATACATTATGCACCTCACCTATATTTATAGAAATTCATACATTTAGTGACGCGTCTTTGCACGCATATAGTGCATGTGTATACCTACGGTCTTTATCGGTTGATGGTAATGTCACCGTTCATTTAGCCATGGCTAAAAGTAAGGTAGCCCCTTTAAAGAGTATGACTGTACCTCGGCTAGAACTTTGTGGTGCATTACTAGCAATCAGACTCATGGAAAAGGTTCGAACTGCATTGAGATTAAATATCGATCGTATTGTTATGTGGTGTGATTCCACTATTGTGTTGGGATGGATAAGGTCTCCTAAATCTTCTTTAAAAACGTTCGTACTTAATAGAATTAATGAGATAACGGAAAATAGTAACCCAGAAGCATGGAGATATGTACCTACTCATTTAAACCCGGCTGATATAGGATCTAGGGGCTGTAACGCCAACCAGTTAAGAAATTCTCTGTTGTGGTTTTATGGCCCACCTTTTTTAATGCAAACAGAATCTCAATGGCCCATTCAACCCAATAATATCTTAACGTCGTTACCTGAGATTAAGGTTGAATGCAAATTTGCTACTGAACAAATAAATTTTATCAATAAATATTCTAATTATGTTAAATTGAATAGAATCACTGCATACATGTTAAGATTCATAAATAATTGTCAAAAATCAAAAATAAAATTTAGTGGTCATTTAAAGCTAAATGAATTGGCTTCTGCTACATACATGCTGTGTAAAATTGTGCAACTAGATAACTTTTGTCAAGAATACAATTTGTTAAATAACAATAAACAATTGTCGATTAAATCAAAGATTTTAAATTTAAATCCTTTTATGTCAAGTGAAAATTTAATTCGTGTGGGTGGTAGGCTATCTAACTCTAACTATAATTACGACACAAAACATCCCATTTTGCTTCACGCATCACACCATATCACTAAATTATTGTTTAGACATTATCATATAGTTCTTATGCATGCAGGGCCGCAATTACTGTTGTCTATTTTAAGACATAAGTTTTGGATACTTGGAGGCCGCAATTTGGCAAGAAAAATAACACACGAGTGTATAACATGCTGTCGATTTGCCGGGAAAACTATTCAACCTATTATGGCAAATTTACCGAAGGAAAGAATTCATAGTCATTTTCCTTTTTCTAACACTGCAGTTGACTATGCTGGTCCCATTATGCTAGCGAACAGAAAAGGTAGAGGTTGCAAATTAATAAAATCATATATATGTGTATTTGTGTGTCTGGCTGTTAGGGCGGTTCATCTCGAACTGGTCACAGAATTGAGTACTGAAGCATTTTTGGCTGCTTTAAATAGATTTATAGCTCGCAGAGGCAAACCTGACTTTATTTATTCCGATAACGGTACGAATTTCGTAGGAGCCGCGAATGAAATTTCAAAATTTTTAAAGGGTAAAGGTGATAGCATTAGTTCAAAATCAGCGGAGCAGTCTATTATTTTTAAATTCTCTCCAGCATACAGCCCACACTTCAATGGCTTAGCGGAAGGCTCTGTTAAGGCAGTCAAGCATCATTTAAACAGAGTTCTTTCACTGGCAAATTTGACATACGAAGAAATGAATACCGTACTTGTGGGTATAGAAGGAATATTAAATTCCCGTCCACTCACCCCACTCTCTTCCGATCCCAATGATTTTATCCCATTGACTCCGTCCCATTTCCTAATCGGACGCACTATTACTATGCTGCCTACTTCGCAGAATGATTTCGAGGAGTCAGCCAGAATCTACACACTCCCTCGATATCAGAGAGCGCAGCTACTAACACGTCATTTTTGGAATCGATATTATTTGGAGTACATTTCAGACTTGCAAAAGCGACAAAAATGGAAACGTACTAGTGGAGGAGAACTGCGTGTCGGAGACCTAGTCATCATTAAAGATGAACGGCTGCCCCTCAACCACTGGCAACTTGGACGTATCATCCATTTACATCCTGGCAACGACGGCATCACTCGCGTCGCTGACGTCAAAACAGCTACAGGAGTTGTAAGAAGAGCCTACAACAGATTGTGCTTACTACCATCTGAAGAATCCTTGGAACAGGACGTTCCAACCCGGGGAGCCTGTTAGCGCCTGAACACATTCAACGGACTTAATTGCACATCATCGAATAACTATGACGTTCGGGCCATCATGACGCGTCACTGTTCATACTACGTTGTGAGTCGATCGAATAAACTACTGTATTTTTCATTCCGAGCGCATTTTCATTTTATCGAGCTCATGAGCTATTGGAAGTTTCTGCGACATTATATTAACCTGGCTTGTGAATAATAATTAAAACATTAAAAGCTGAAGAAATCTTCTATACACATATAATTATTTTATTGTTATATATTATAATTAAACATTAATATTTTCAGTAGTCGTAAGTTACGACAATTTTATAAAATGACTGATTTTAGTACAAAGTTGTGCAAGGCTTCTGTAAAGCTACTCAAGACTACTGTCCACCGGGTGTTCAAGGTCCAAAAGGGCCTAACGGATCTCCAGGACCAAAGGGGGACAGAGGTGAACCAGGGGCGCCAGGAACTCCTGGACATTCTGGCTCACGAGGCCCAATCGGCCCACCGGGACCTAAAGGTCTGAGTTTACCTTCAAAATCCACGATACTCAATATACGAAATTTGCCTACCACTAGCTCAATTATAAGACTAGTTGTTTTAGCTTTACGTAAGTTTTTTTAAGGGGATCAGTATTTCCGAAGATTAACCCTTTACAAACAAACAAAATTAGAAACTTTGTTTATATAAAATTAATTTATATTGGAGAATAATAGATACATACTCGTAACACCTTTCTTTTCTTTGCTTAAGGTGAAAGAGGTTTTCCTGGTAATCCAGGCTTAGATGGCCGAGACGGTGTGCCAGGAGAACCAGGCTTAGATGGTGTATCAGGTAGGAATGGTGCCGATGGGGCACCAGGAAAAGATGGTCGTGACGGTATACCAGGAAAAGACGGTAGTCCGGGTAAAAATGGAAAGGATGGCAAAGACGGTAAGATATATTTTATTTTATTATCATAGGTGTCAAGATTATCAAATAACATAATTCACAGTGTGATTTTTAACTAGCGAATCCAAATTACATTCTAAATCAGAATCAGACACAATGCATGTTCTCATCGCAAGAATCAAATGCCTGTGTTAAAGATCCAAACGGACGAGGTTAATACAACTACCCAGATGCAGAAAACTACTTCTGACATAATATAGAAAAACTAATTACGAAAATTGATAAATCGAAATAAAGACGACAGTAATAATACCGTCTTGAAATCGATTTGCAATTGACTCGAATACAATTTTTTTTCAATCAACGCCGTTAGTATACCGACGCATATGCTTAGGAAAGCGATACAACTGAAAAACTATTGCGAATGTGAAACATCTATGAAGCATGTGCGTCTATATAACGACGTTTTTCGCATTTGCCCGAGAAACAGTTCTGACAAGGACGTAACTATTTCATCGAGCTAGTAATAGAGCGAGACAAAGCAAATGCAAAACATTTCCATATAACTGATAAGTTTTTTGTTATTTCGCTTTCTCGTGCGATTGCGTTGGTATAAGAGAAGAAATATCAAAGATATATATATAGCTGCGTTATCAATGAATGCATGAACTGATACTCCACATGCCAAATACTCAACATTATGCTGAGTTACAAAATAAAGCACACCCATGTGCCCAACACTGTCTCGCTTCTGCACAAAGCTTCTTATTAAAAATGGTGTATTTAAACCCAGAAAATTTCAAACTATACCATCACATATCATATTTTAGGACGAGCAGGAGCTCCAGGGCCATCTGGCTTGAGGGGACCTAAAGGTGACAAAGGCCCCATTGGTCCAAAAGGTCAAAGAGGTAACGACGGACGTGACGGCGCCCCTGGTCGACCAGGGCTATCCATATACAATTATACTAAAGAGAAGGAACTGTTCATACCTCCTACTTTTGCACGTAAGAACATATTTAAATAAGATTCCCGTTCCTGTCCCCAGAATTAAAGTAGAAAACCAAAAAAAAACATAGAGTACAAATAGATGGTACAAATAATATCTTACAAAATATTAAATACTTCTATTAGAAGTCATAATTTCTGCTAATACAATAGAAGATAAATATTTTTATTTGCTATACAACATAAAACAATCTACAATCATTGGTGTTTATATGTATGTAACAAAACTTTCGTATGTTTGTACGCGGAATTGTGATAGCAGTGTTCCGTATTGACATTATGTACATTATGTAGGAAATGTAAATACAATAATATATAGAAATGTTGTCCACACATATCCAAGGAAATCCAAGGGAAGAATGGGCTAATTTTCATCTATTTTCTTGATTTAAAATATAACAAATATATTATTATGTATACTAGCTTTCTCCCCGCGTGGTCCTGTTTTCTAGAGATATACCTTCCTTGTCAATCACTCTGTATGTTGATAAAAATCATATATAAACTGTTGTGCCGATTAACGATCTCAGCGTATAGACAGCGGAGTGTGATTTGTATTATACTATATAATGTAGATTTGAGGCTGCAGTATTTTCCAAGAAAATCGGCTGTTACTGACGGACATAAAGACAATTAGATGAGTGTCTATAAGAATTCCGTTACTGGTACGGATATCTAAATATGTTAGACAATTCAAAAAGGCTTTCAATAAGCTGACTTGAATTAAAATAAAGCCATTTCATTGTGTATCTTCAATATTTACAGAAGACCATACTAGGGTGATTGTTCGAGAAGGTGATACACTTCGCATCAGTTGTAACCCAATGGGAAAACCTGAGCCATCGGTGGAATGGAGGCGTGCCGATGGAACTGCTGTCATACAGGTATAGTATGACTCTAGATATATATATAAATTCATTCATGTAATTTTTTGAAAATGTTGCGACGAAAGTTCTTGAACTATCGTTCGCTTCTAAGTGAAGCTTTATAAGTTTATTCATTGTTTTTCGTCATCATTATCATTACTCCATCAAAGTCCACGATGCGTTATTTTTAATACACCTAAAATCAGCAGCGGCACTCTGTCTGATGTGTAATTCACAGTAAGTAACATACGTTTTGTATGTTACTTAACGGGAATTCACCATTCTACACTTGATAACCCGATGTTAGGCAATGTTCAAGTAATTCTGCATATTCAGTTGGCATTGATTGATGAACCAACCTTCTCCTAGTAACATCGATGCAGTCCTGTACTGGTAGACATGTAAATAAGGACTGGTCATCAAAATTTACCATACTTTAATTATCCGCAAAACGTAGGTCTTTAATCTCACTGATAAAACTGTATGAATGCTTCACAAAAGCTTTAGTGTGGCCTCGGAGTGGTGAGAGTATCTTAGCTATGTACCGAGCCAATCTGTAGGTTGGTAAATCGATTCAAATGCTCGACTTTCAGATCCAAGATAAGGATCTTGGTGGTCGGGTCACGCTTAACAAGTTTGTATGTATTTTCATCTGATGACAGTTTTGATATTTTTTCATTGTAATCTTATGTATCCATTATTACCGTGGCGTTTCCTTTATCTGCTCGTAGGATGGTTTATTCCGGCTTAGATCGTAAGTTTAGTGCTAAATATTAATCGCGAGGAAGATCAGGTTTTCGGCCTTTTGCTCTGGCGTAATTCATATGAAATATACTCCATAACTTCCTTTTCATGTTGTTTTCCACTAAGCAGTCCTCACGTTATAAACTATTTGCTCATACGGTATTCTACAAGGTGTTACTCTTAATTTAAAAGACAATCAATACCTTAGTCTTATGTGAACACGGAATCTGTAAAAGGTTCAAAACGTCATAAAAGTAAATAAAAACGCGATGAAACCGTTTAAAAGTTGTCCCATTTATGGATAGTGTGCGTGAAAATATTAGACATCAAAATCATTTTTATTTAAAAAAACATACTGTTGACGACAGCCACGTGCCGAAAAATGTACAGATCGAACGACCAATCACAGCGCCTACATTTGCGGAATTCTCAGGGAGCCCATTGGCTGCGTATGCGCCGTCCGCACGGTGGGGGCGATTCCCCCACCCGGCGCGCGGGCGCAAAACGCGCTGTGATTGGTCGGCCGCCGCGCGTCACTAGTAGCTAAGTTAGATGTTAAGTGTAGAATAAGGGTAGGGCCAAATTTGTAAATATTTGTAGTCAAGTCAAGTCAGTCAAGCAGTATAGTCAAGCAGTAATAAGTAGCCAGTAAGAAGAAAATATAATAAATCGTCTATAGAAGAAATTCGTCTTTGTTTTCACCATCATCCACGGTTATACAACATCGTCTACGGTTTGGTCCATAGAGCCGGATCAGCACCCTCAACAGTTTTGGTCCTTCGAGAAGCCGGATCTAAACACGTATAGAACCTTCGAGATCCAGCAACAGCAATTCAAGATGGTGCTTACAAGAAGCCAAGACGAAGAAAACCAACGTCGTGTCTTCGACCAGCCGCCGAGATCGCCCTCAAGTACACCGACCGTACGAGGACGCCTCGAGACGGGTAACGCCGGGGAGAGCCTACGCACCGCACCGCAAGTCTCGCAACTAGCGCCTAACGCGAACCGCGCTGGGGCAGACGTTGCCGGAGCACGCGTCGCCTTGGCAGTGACTACGCAGCCGCCGAGCGGAGCGGACGAACGCGCAGCACACCCAACGGACACAGCGGCGACTACTGGAATAACGACATCTGCGATGACGTCATCGGTGCAACCGGCGAGGAGAGTGCACGTCGCGCGTTCGACCCGCTCGGCAGCGAGCAACGCGGCACGCCGGAAGCTACGCATCGAAGCAGAAGAACGACTGGCTGCCATAAGACGCCGAGAACTCGAAATTGAAGCGGACCTCATAAAAAAGACGCTCAATATCGAGTTAGAAACGCTAGACGGAGCAGAGAGCGAACCCGAAGCTGAAGAACCGGCAAATAAATTGCAAGATCGAGTGTTCGAGTGGCTCGACGACGCGAACGTCGACCAACAACGGGGGGAGCTCTCAAGGACCGCCGTGGCTGAACCGCCACCTGAACGCGACACGCGACGCCCAGATAGGGAAGAACGAAGACGGTCGTCATCGCGAGGCAGAGGCATCGATCAACTCGCCTCTGTCCTCGAAACCCTCGTGAAGTCACGACCGCCGCCGCGTCAAGCATCGGATCTACCGATATTCTCTGGTTCACCGCTGGAATGGCTACAGTTCGCGACTGCGATGCGAGAAACAACGCGGCTGTACGAATTCACACCTACAGAGAATATGGCAAGACTAAGAAACTGCCTACGTGGAGAAGCTCGGGAAAACGTCGCATCATTGTTGAGCACCGCGACGCACCCCGACGAGATCATGCGAACACTGGAGCAATGCTACGGAAGGCCAGAAAGACTAGTGGACATGGCTTTCGCCGATCTACGGAAGCTGCCGAAGATTGGACCTACCGCGAACGATCTTAACATGTTTGCGGTGAAGCTACAGAACGTCGTGGCCGTCCTGAGGAACGTGCAGCCAGAGTACCTGCTTAACCCACTGCTGACCCGGGAAGTCTTAGACAAGATGCCAAGTTACCTTGTATCGAGTTGGTGCAACTTCGCCGAGTCACAGCCGGGCCCGAACGCCGATCTACTCAAACTTTCATCGTTCCTGATGAAGGAAGCTGACCGCTGCATGCGATACAACTATGTATCGAACCTCACCGCACCCTCCACATCGCAACGAACACGAGAAACGCCTCGCCCCGCCCCCAGACCGGAGGCTAAGAAGAAGACGGTGTACGTCGCCACCGAAGAAGCACCGCAGCGCAGATGCCTTTCATGCCAGGAAGCCCACACACTACCTAGCTGCCCAAAGTTCAAGCAGCTAACGTATGATGACCGATGGGAGCTGGTGAAGAAGGAGGGCCTTTGCTTCAAATGCATCGTGGGCCGACACCGTCGATTGAACTGTCGACAGAAGCTCTGCGGAATCAACGGATGCAAGCGACCGCATCACCGACTGTTGCACGCAGATGAGCGTGGAACGACGAACGACGTGGCTACGAGCGCGACCGACTCAAACGCGGCCGCAACGGAACCAGCCACCACCGAAACGACGACGGCTGCCACGACGACAAGCCGCGCCGTCAAATTGAAGATTTGCCCCGTGACAATCACGGGCAAACGTGGGAGCTGCGACACCTACGCGCTCTTCGACGAAGGCTCGACGGTCACCTTATTAGACGACGACCTGGCGCGACAGATCGGCGCCGACGGACCGACCGCACAGCTCAACGTCCGAGGAATAAACAAGAAGCAAAGTCACGTGCAGAGCCGTCGAGTGAAGATTGGAATAAAAGGAACGCGCAGTGACCAGATCTTCAAAATCAACGCTCGCACCATGGTGGGCCTGGACCTCACGCCGCAATCGATACCGGCGGAGGCGATGAAGCTACGACACCTAAGAGATCTCGACGAGCGAGAAGTCGTATACAAGAATGCGAAGCCTCGCATTTTGATCGGGACGGACAACTGGGAGCTCATAGTGACCCGCGAACTACGGTCAGGAAAAACCAAGGAACCAGCTGCCTCCAAAACCGAACTCGGATGGGTAATCCACGGGACGGCGCCATCGAGATCGCTTCGCCGCACCGAGGATATCCTACATGTCGTCACGACCGAAGCATCAGACGACCGACTCGAGGAACTCGTGTCGAGACACTTCCGGATCGACTCACTCGGAGTGTCGCTCGACGCATCACACGTCCGCGAAGAGGACAAGCGTGCCGTCTCCACGTTCGAACGCACCGTGAAGCACAAGGACGGCAGATACGAAGTGGGCCTGCCTTGGCGAAACGACGACGCCAAACTGCCACGGAGTTACGACTCAGCACTCCGCCGGCTCACAAATCTGGAGAACAAGCTGAAGAAAGATCCACGCGACATGAAGGAATACCAGCGGAGGATCGACAACCTACTAGAAAAAGGATACGCCGAACCCTGCGACGGCTCCGAGGACGCAAGCCCCGTCGCATGGTACCTGCCGCATTTCGCCGTCAAGAATCCCAATAAGCCCGGGAAGCTGCGACTGGTTTTCGACGCAGCAGCAAGAATTCGAGGTGTCAGCCTGAACGATCACCTACTCGAAGGGCCGGATCTGCTACGATCGCTGCAGACCATTTTATTCCGGTTCCGAGAGGGCGCATACGCGGTGACAGCTGACATCGAGGAAATGTTCCTGCGGATCAAGATACGCCGCGAGGACCAACCCGCACAGATGTTCCTGTGGCGCGACTGCAGGCAGAATGAACCACCGCGCAAGCTGAAGATGACGTCGATGATCTTCGGCGCATCGAGTTCACCGTTCCTCGCACACAGCGTGAGGGACCACAACGCGAGACAGCATGCTGAGACACACCCTGCAGCACTGCGCGCAATCACCGAAGCGCACTACATGGATGACTTCGTCGACAGCTTCAATGATCCGAGAGAGGCCCACGAAGTCATCACCCAAGTCGACGCAGTGCACCAGAAGGCTGGATTCCACCTGAGGGGATGGAACAGCAACAACAGGAAGCTACTACAAGCCGTGAACCCGGATAGTAGAGCCAAAAGCGGGACGACGACGTTTGGAGACACAGAGAAGACATTGGGCCTGCTTTGGGATGCAAATACCGATCGGCTGGGCTTCAACACCGCCCTGCCTAGAGTCCCACTGCCAGTGAAGTCTCGACAACGCCCGCCGACGAAAAGAGAAGCATTATCGACGGTGATGAGCATATACGATCCGCTCGGACTGCTCAGCTGCTTCACAATCACAGCGAAGATAACTCTTCAAAAACTCTGGCGCCTCAAGACCGGCTGGGACGACCCTCTACCATCCGACTTGAGCGAGGACTTCGATGCATGGTTGACAAGCCTGCCAGCAATCGACCAACTACGGCTACCCCGTAGTTACAACGGGGGGAGAGAAGTGCGTCGCCGTGAACTTCAAATATTCTGTGACGCCAGCGAAGAGGCCTACGCAACGGCGGCGTATTGGAGGTTGCACTACGGACCCGGCCATGTCATCGAGACAGTCCTGATAGCGGCAAGAGCTAAGGTCGCGCCCTTGAAGACCCAAACCGTACCGCGCCTGGAATTTCAAGCGGCACTACGAAGAATGGCAGCACGACGAGGATGGCCCGCCGTAATATACAGCGACAACGGCACCAACTTCCGAGGGGCTGTCACCGAGCTCAAGAAGGCGTACACCGAGTGGCTTCCCGAGCTGAAGAGAGAGGCGATGAACTACGATGCCACATGGAAATTCATCGCGCCGGGAGCACCTAACCCAGGCGGAGCCTGGGAACGCATGGTTCGCTCCGTGAAAACCGCGCTCAACGCAACATTAAAGGAACGAGCACCGAAGGAGGAAGTCCTGCACACTCTACTGGCCGAGGCGGAACATGCTGTCAATTCGCGACCACTGACGCATGTCTCCGTAGACCCAAGCGATCCGGAGGCGCTAACCCCAAACCACTTCTTGTTGGGGTCATCGACCGGCCTCCCATACACCGGGCCATGTGAAGAGGGCGACCGCAGGACTTGGAGGGCGACGCAAGCACTAGCCGACGCCTTCTGGAAACGCTGGCTACGAGAGTACCTACCGACCCTCGTACCACGCCGCGACCCACAACGTCCACGAAGCAGCGAAGTCCGGATCGGAGACGTGGTTATCATAGCCGACCACGCTCTGCCTCGAAACACGTGGCCACGCGGCATCGTAGCCAATACCTACCCTGGACCTGACGGCGTGATTCGGAACGTGGAGATAACGACAAGAGGAGGAACATTTCGGCGGCCGACATCGAAGCTGATCGTCGTCGAACCTGCACTCTCCACGGAACGATGAGAGAGGACGCGCTGCGCGACGGGCACGGGCTGCCAACCGGAGGAGGCTGCGGAGATCCTTCGCCGGGGGGAGACTGTTGACGACAGCCACGTGCCGAAAAATGTACAGATCGAACGACCAATCACAGCGCCTACATTTGCGGAATTCTCAGGGAGCCCATTGGCTGCGTATGCGCCGTCCGCACGGTGGGGGCGATTCCCCCACCCGGCGCGCGGGCGCAAAACGCGCTGTGATTGGTCGGCCGCCGCGCGTCACTAGTAGCTAAGTTAGATGTTAAGTGTAGAATAAGGGTAGGGCCAAATTTGTAAATATTTGTAGTCAAGTCAAGTCAGTCAAGCAGTATAGTCAAGCAGTAATAAGTAGCCAGTAAGAAGAAAATATAATAAATCGTCTATAGAAGAAATTCGTCTTTGTTTTCACCATCATCCACGGTTATACAACATCGTCTACGGTTTGGTCCATAGAGCCGGATCAGCACCCTCAATACATACTTTTACAAGAATATCCTTATGTGTCGACAATAATTTGATTTTACACGGGTCGCTCAACAACCAAAGCTGGTGTTGAGATAATACAATAAATTTTTGTGAAGATCATAGCTTTTTATCTATTTATAATGCATTGATCTAATAATGACATGCTTTTGTGAATGTCGTTACTCCCAATAAAGCTGGTGGATTTCTTGCTCGTTCTTCTAACCAGCCATGACGTCCTGAACGAGTGGTAGGGAAAAAAAATGTTGGACGATTCAAAATTCTATTTGAATTAAAATCGTTTTGACTTTGACTTTGCCTGGGCCCCTGCAGAACGTAAAAGGGCTGATGATGATAATGATGTATACCGACAATACTTCATTCTAACAGGGCTCTTGGCGGGATGCGTCTGTGAGCGGTCACCTTCTCAACATACCGAATGTATCTCGCTGGCACACTGGCAAGTACGTGTGCTTGGCCAACAATGGCATGCTGCCATCCACCAACCAGACAACAGATGTCGAAGTACATTGTTAGTATAGAAAAAGGTTCTATTTTTCAAAAATTAAAAAATATTCGTCCAATTCAACGACGTATAAACTTAAATTCAAACAATCAGCCATTTGTTTAAAGCATTAAAAGCATAACGGTTAGTTCTTATTGGATGTAGTATTTATGTTAAGGCATTTCATTCTTACCTATAGCTTAGATGAGGTTGACCTTTCTTAATAATAAAAATCACTCATAGAAGAAAGGATATTTAAGCAAAGTATCTGTTGTGAGGTCTAAGTATTCGCTTAATAAAATGTTATCACAATCTTATTTCAGTTAGTCCATACATTAGAGTGCCAAACAACGTCGTGTATGTTTACAACAAAACTGCGAAAATAGAATGTGAAGTAAGTTAAATTTCATATTTGGAAATTGAATTTAGTATAGTGTCCTTCTAAATATCATATACCTCATACCTATTGTGTTCCTGAAACAAAATTAAAAAATAAGCTCTCCGAAGAAATCTTACTCTTAAAATCAACAGTTTGCCAATGTAAAATGACACATACCAACATAATAAGTTCGTTAGATTGTAAAGTTCCCACGTAATCACCTTGCCAAATAGTTGAGAGTCCTATAAATAATGTCCTATATTAATGTTCTAGGTGCAAGCGTGGCCAGAACCTGTTCTTGCATGGCAGAGCAACGACATTACCCTAGAAGGTCCACGTTATAGGACTGAGGTGGCAACTACCGGTGATCCGTGGCGATGGATCATGAGATTGGAGATCCCGGGAGTCAGAGAACACGATATGCGACAGTACAGCTGCGTAGCAAAGAATGAATTGAATAACCAAACTGTTATGGGACACATAAAACTGCAATGTGAGTTATTTATAAACAAACTGGTAAACACTTCTTTAGCGTAAACATTATTACAATATAGAAATTTATATACTGTATTCGCTTATTTATCTCAATTAATTTTTGAAGAAGAAAAATAACGCAAAATAAGCACTTTATCTATTCTAGTAGGTAAGTAAGTAATCACCACTTCGAATCTCAATCTTCTAATCCTATTTAAATCAATGGCAACGAGCAATGTTCACAACGTCACAGCGTGCCCATTATCCAAAAATGTAGTAACTCGAGCTCCAATCGGTTCTTTGCCGTTGATCCCGGCTACATCTTCCATCAATCCACACTGGGTCTGCATTGTGGGTCATAGCCCTTCTCCCTATTTGATTCCATCAATGGGGAAGGTCTGCCCAGCAGTGGGGGATATAAGTAATTTGATGATGGACAACAGCAACTGGAGCTAATGGTTAATGTGTTTTAAAAATGATGTGGGACCTCAAGACAACCAATCTGGTTATTGGTCTTTGCGAAAGTTGCTTGATATATAGAGCTCTGAACCTTTGAACTCCACCGAATATAATTTATAAAGTATGTAAAAAAATTTGGGTTGATAATTTAAGGTAACTTTATTAATTTCTTATACTTTCACGCGCACTATCCATAAATGAATCAACCACAATATTTAAAATAAATCAATGGTTCAATAAATGTAAACGTTTTCATATAATACAAAAAATTTGTTTTGTGCATGGATCCAATAGTATTATTGTTTTAATGGTTGAATTTCAGGTAACTTTTTTCAAGAGTAATTCTATGTAGCCTTATTTTCACAGATCCAGGGCCCAACCAACAGATGACAGTGCAACAGCCAATGGAGTTCGGCTCTAGACCCCCTCTCCTTACCTCCTACGAGGAATTATGCCAGGTTCAACGCTGCCCATCCTGTCCAAGATGTGATCGCGCACAACTGCTTATCACAACAATTAACGGCACCGCTGGACATAAACCTAGGAGGAACACGAGTGAGGACAGTGTTTATTATCTTCTTCTTCATTTGTCTCTCAACGAATGAAGGTTGCCTATTGGTTTCTGTAATTCATTCTAAACAATAGCTCGACACTTTCAATCTCAGTATATTACCTTAAACAGAATACACGATAGTTTATTGGTAATAACACAATATCTTTTCAGGGTGGTCCGTTTTCTAGAAATTAATTTTCAGTGTCACAACTCTATTTAACAAAACACAGATAAAATCAACCCTCTCTAGGTTCTTTGTATTTTTTTCTCAGTAAAGTCTACCGTCGCAGATTTTAATAGTTTTAGACTTCCACTACTGCTTATTGGCAGGCTAAATTAAATTGATATGGATTAATTTTTATTGACAATTTCAATATCAAATATTTTCTGCGATATAAAATTTTAATTATTATTATTTAACAAAAAAAATCAATTAACATTCAATATTTTTTTGTATTGTAATCTTAATCTAGTAATGTTAATTGAATTATGATAAATGTATTAATGTCAATTGTTTGAATGTTGCTGTACCCTGACAGGGTTTATGTTATGGTACTGTGTTTGAGTAGTATATCTGTATTATACAAGATTGAAATAAAGAAGTGAATTGAATTTCTCATGAATATAGATTTATAAGGGGGTACTATATGATCATCATCAGCTTATACATATACAAAATGCTCAAATGCTGCATATAAGCATTTTTTTTTTCATTAAGAATATCATTGTTTTCAGATTGTCAACTTTATGCGATTGGTAAGCCAGTTTACCACCGCTTCAAGGAAGAGCTTTTTGGAGCGTGGTTAAGAGATTCGGATGCCAGTGATAGCCAGGTAACTAAGATATAACAGGAGTATTATTAAATAAAATAAATTATTGCTCAGGAGATAAAATAGGAGCCTAAAGCCAAATTTAGTTGCTTGATATTAATTAATATTTGCCTACTATTTAACCGTAAAGTTTAAATTATTGTTTTAAACTGTTGAATAAAGAATAAAGCATATTTTTAATATATCTATTTAGCTATTCTAATGGACTTTAGTGATGTAACGAATCTATTTAATACTAGCTGTTCCCTTGCAAATTAATTTATTTAACATGAGTTTTTGACTGCTGATTTAGAGAGAAAAGTTGTGGACTACTAAGGAAAACGATGTGGAACGCTTACGGGAGTACAAGAGCAAAACCTCATTCAAGGCAGACCACGTCGACGAGTTTCACAAACTCCAGAAACCTTTCTTTGTGAGTAGATTTATTGTAAATCTCATCAGTAAGTAAGTTGACGCCACTCAGCTAAATAATTGTCTCGTCTATTGAAAATACTGAGGTGTTAATGCTCATTATATTTATTTATTTATTTATATTACTCTTTATTATACCAAACCAAAATTTTAAAACTTTTTTTATAAGATTTTCTATAAAGAAATGACGTAACAATAATCTGTAATTAAATATGATAAAACTGCGTCATATCGAGGGGTGAAAGCCTTAAGTGAAAAGTGAGGGGTGAAAAACTTAAAAAAATGGCGCTTAAATTTGTTTTAAGCGCCATTTTTTTAACTTTTCAGGAGAGGGATTCAAAGTTTTTGATTTCGAAAAAAAAATCATTAAATAAAAACTACTGGTTATTTTTGCCTGAAAGTTTTACAATCTAGATTATTTTTAAAATCCTCAAATTCTAGTTATATTCTTAACTTTGTCATGACAATTATTTCGAAAATAAATGTCGGTTAACACAAAATGGCCGCATAATAGAGTCAGGGAAAACGGTTTAACCACCACTTTATTTCGCTGATCGGTGCGAGCAAAAGGCTTTAAGTACTACTTTAATTGTCTTTCTAGTTTGGATAAATGCTTTAACCAACTATCCACTAATTCAATAGAATAAACCTATTTGGCTGAAGAAGCAAAAATTTTCATTTCAGGGTCAAATCATAACAGCTTAAGCAACAATTTAAAACAAAAGCAATTGTTTTAAATCGCATTTCTTTGTATAACTTTATTATGAATAGCGAATGATACCATACAATTTATTTCTCATTTTAAAACTTCAATCTTTGTGGAGATGGTTTTTTATTAAAATAAAAGAAGATCTCTTATAAAATTATTTATTGAAACATTCTCAAATATTCTAAATCAACAACTTAATATTTATGTTACAAACTTCAGCATATTTAAACGTTTTAATTTAGTTTTTTGGCAGACAGAAGCATTAAGGTTTTAATCGACGGTGAATGCTCAGACCTACTGTCAATTAATGCTGGTGTTCCTCAAGGATGTGTGCTATCACCTACACTTTTTCTTCTGCACATTAATGACATGCTGCAAATTAGCGGTATTCATTGTTATGCGGACGACAGCACGATGGACTCTTTCTATAACGGTCGTGCAGGTATTTCTCGGGAAAGTGTCATTGAGAGCCGGAATCAACTTGTGTATGTTATTGATTCTTCGTTAGAGGAAGTCTAACTGGGGTTGACTTAATTTGGTCCATTTCAACCCTAATAATATTGGTGGGTCACTATTTATTTGACATTGTAGTTCTGGCTTTTGAGTTTCCTTAACTATGGTATTTTTTCTTCATTTAGAAAGATTTGTGGTAGTGTCTGAAAAAATAATTATTAATTATTATAAAATACTTTTATTACTTAATATGTTTGGCCTAAGTAAAAGAAACAAGTTCTTACCTTAACAAGATTTGGCGCACACAAACACTCGTTTTCACGGTTCACGATAGGCTGAAGCGCCCGCGCGAGGTGGTAGGGTATTTATACCGGCGCGAGTTAAAGGCGCCGGCATCTAACGGTCATTGTTTGATCCGACGATGCAAAATTATCACATAGTAATATTTGCATGTATGAACGGACATAGATATCACTCTTTTGAGTTTCGATAAATGCTTCAAGTAGCACCAAGTAAACTTGAGATATGTTTGACCGACACTCAATAAGATTCTAGAGTGCGGATAACTCTCTGAAACGACACGCTAGTCAAGTTTAGCATTCAGACGATAACGATTTAAACAACATGCTATCATGTAAAAACATAAAGGAAAAAAGGTTGAGGGGCCGTGTTGTATATTTTTTAGGTAAAGGCTAATTGTTTTAACCAACAGCCGTGTTGATTTTTATGAAAAGCAAAATGTATTAAGCGACAGTCACCTCTAAAAAGTAGTGGCAGGCAAAACGCTTTAACCGCCGTGGAGTATTTTAATTGAGAAAACAAAAACAGTTTAAGCGGTTTTTTGTAAGATATATGTGTGGTTCATATCCATAGCCTCTAAAATTTTATTGATTTTTTTGGCGTTTAATACATCATTTTTCTAAAATGAGGCCAAAGTGTTAATTGTTTTAAGCGCCAAAAAAGTCATCCGATCTTTACGGGACCCCTCTCATTCGACGCAGAAAAATCTGCCGATTCCAAAATAGTATATAACTCAATTTTGCCCTGGGTGGCGCTTAAAACAAATAGGCTTTCACCCCTCGATATGTTTAAAGGGTTGCACAACTTGCTACTAAAATTCACTTTTTTATATTTCTTGTTACGATACCTTTTTTTATGGGAAATGGATAAATATTCACTGTATATTTCAGAGAATTATGCAACACTTTAACAATAATCGTTAAAACTTATGAGTAATTAATAAAAAACCTTTTTTGCTGCGTACTTTGCCATTCTCTAATGGCCGGGTGCAATAAGATAGACAAGGACAGTATTTTGACTTCAGGGGTCCCTCTTAATATCAAGCAAAATAGTTTCACAAGCCTTTGCACTTATAATTCACACAAATTAAATCCTGAGGGCCTATTCTGTTTTTCTCGAAAGAAAATTCAAAAATAAAATCAAATCATACTTACACATTTAGTTTTATACGTACGTACGAGTTACGATTCGTGCGAGTAGTATTTATATCTAATTTCTACCAATCGTACCACAGTTGATATATTGTCAAAATTATAACTAATTTCCATTATTAACAGGGAAACGGACATATTGTCTACAGCGGATCATTCTTCTACCAAGCAAATGAATCCGGCCATCCGGGCGAAATCATCCGGTACGACTTGACCCAGAGCCGGATCAAATCTGTGCATCTGCCGCATGCTGCTGGACGACTCTACTCTGCTCAGCACAACCAGGTATAATATGATACTAGTTGTTACAGAAGAAATGAAGATAACCTGGAAAAATAAAATTAACATGGAATGGTCATTATTAGTAACACTGCCACACGCGTGTCCGTCACGTGTAATGATTTTTTTTTACAGCAGAAATTTCATATGGCGTCCTTCCATTATTAAATCTTTTGAAAATTCATACTTCTTTCTTGTTTTTTTTTATATTTTTATAACTTATGACTTTTTCGCAAGTAAATACTTACTCTCGACTATAAATACGAGCGTGAAAACAAAAGAACACATATTCTCCAACACGATGTTCCGTCACAATGAAAGAGATCTACTCCACTTAATTTTCATTTTTAAACTCTCCACTTAATTAATTTTTAAAATTCGACTCCAATAAATTTCGCCAGTCGGTAAGGCCTCAGAACAGAACAAATACAGGATTGTTATACTACAATTCAAATGACCACGATCTACCTCGTGTGGTTATAAGTTTCGAGACAAAATAAAAGATACGTAACTTTTTTAATAAGAACTTATATTTCTAAAATTTTCAGTAACCATTTAATAGATAATAATCAACAATAAAATATATATTTTATTAAAAATGATCGTCCTTGTTTTTAATACCAGGCCAGTCATCAATGGCGACACGAATCTTTTCTAGCGGAATTCGCTTTGCTTCTCGAACGAGGATTCGCTTTAGTGACTCCAAGTGTGGGTGGGACTTTCGGCTGACCCTGAGGTCTAATTCAGTACATAAAGTATAATCCAGCGGGTTGCGGTCGGGGTTGGAAAAGGGCCACTCGTCCGCCGCGATGAAGACCGGGACATTCTCCCTCAACCAAGCTTAGGTGCTCTTTGCCTTATGGCGCCGAGTCTTGCTGAAAAACCTAATCCTTATTGTGAAATAACATATCAGATAGGGGTTTCATCACAGGCTCTAAAATGTCACTCTGATAATTCTTGGCTTTCACCTTAACACCTTGTTGGCAGAAAAGGAACAGCGCGACACCTTCATACGAAACTCCCCACCATATCATTACACTAGCCGGATGATGAGTGCGCAAGGCATTCCATGCAGAAGCTGGGACTTCCTTGCTACTTTTAGCGTACACTTTTTTTGTTTTGTCGTTTGAAATTTTCTTCGACAGTAAAAATTTTCTCATGTCTCCTCAGCAGCAATGGACGATGCAAGAGCAGCAAAGACGTCCGTTTTAAAAGTGAACTCTTCTACGTCTATAGGCCTTTACCTTAAGATTATATTCCAGTATTCTGTTCACTGAAACGCGCGAAACGTTAGTCTGCAGAGCGAGTTCCTTCTGAGTGCGATATGGATTTTGGCGAAGTCGCTCTCGATTCGATGGTTTTGATGTTCGCAGGCGTCCTCACAGAACATTGCCGATCACTCCTTTGGCGATCTTGCGGAAAACTTTTCAACCCGCGGAAAATCTGCATCGATTTTTTTCCCATCTTAAATAGCGAAATAAACGAGAAAATATAAACAAATGAACTTCCGATACAAATAAACTAAAAGTTAACATTCCAAATTCAAAATCGGTGAAAAAAATAAATAACCGAAAGAATAACATGTTATTATTTTTTTTGAGTTTGTCTCAAAACTTATGAACACACGAGTACAGTCACAGAACACAGAAAGAAAAGGTACAGTAATTTAGGACTGATCAGAGAGAGTTACTGCAACTTCACCTGGCTGTGGGCAGAATTTATTTCAAGTGTATTCGGTAAAAGTAAGCTTTGACGTTTAACAAGCTTCAACTTTTGCCCGCGTCTTCATCCATGTGGGATAGTTACATTGGGCAGCATTTCTAAAACGAATATATATTCATTATATCGTCTAAAATATCTGAAATAAAGTTGCATTTTTCACAATGATGAACTTACAATCTTAATTCCTTAATTCAACCCTTTTATCATAATAAAAAGCAATCTATAATCTCAAATCAACTCTGTTTGTGGGTTATGCTCGAGAGCCTAACTCACATATATACAAACCTACTATCGCATGTATAACATTAGTATGGAATAATTAAACAATTTTACTTGTCAGTCATTACATCATATGAGATATATCCAGGCTGTTATCGAAACAAATAGACTAAGAACAATATAAAACACGATCTACTTGGTCGATTTTTGCACTCACAGCTATTAAAATTGAAATTTAGAGTTCTAATTCTTAGTAATAGGGGTTAAAGTATGAAAATCAAAATTGTTTACTTTATAATTTTATTTAAATTAATTAATCAAAATAGTTACCATTATTATTTATACATTGCTGCCATCTAATAGGAAAGTAATTCATGCCTTTGCGATAGAACTCTGAGGATCTAGACTGCACAAACTGTGTGAAAGCATTTTGTACTGCCTCCTGGGAAGAAAACTGGGAAGAAAAAGAAAAATTGTCCAAATCATGAAAAAATGATAGTCCGTTAGAGCAAGGTCTGGCGAATACGGAGGATGACAAATGGTTTCTAACTGCAGTTCCTGAAGGGTCAAAACTGTTTCTTGTGCTGTATGAGGTCTCGCGTTGTCATGGAGCAATAATGGTGAAGATCGATTCATGAGTCGGGGCTGTTTTACTGCTAGTTTTGCCAACATTGTTCGGAGTTCGGCACAATAGACATCTGCCGTTATTGCTTGACCGGATCTGAGAAAAATATAGTGAATGACAAAATGTTGAGACCACCAAATAATTACCATTACCTTTTTACTGGTAAATTTTGCTTTAGAACACTGTTGTGGCGTTTGACCTGGGATCACCCATTGCATGGAATCCGCTTTTCATCACATTTCACAATTCAATCCAAAATTCCTTCATTTCTGTACCGATACAACAAGAGTTTCTTCCTGCAGATTAGTGAAATCATGAGGCACCCATTTTTCGTGTTTTTATTTTTTTATTTTATTGCTTTGAAATAAATGAGTCAATATAGTGGGTAAGATAACGTTAAGCCATGCCGCTAATTTCTGGGTAGCCGAATTTTCCATCACAAAAACGTTTTAATCTAAATCGCACGATACGTTCATTAGCAGATCGCTCCAAACGCAACATTGATATTGTGGGCTGTTTCTGCCGCGTTATTTGCGCGACAGAAATCGTATTCTAAAATCACTCGAATTTTCGCAGTATCCATCTTTCTTGTCTAAGTTAAATAACAAAAACAATTGAAAGTCGATATTCAAATGTTTCACATTTTTTAAAAGAAGAACATCATAGAAACCATGTGAAAAAAGTTTCTTTCGAAAACTTCAAACCATAAAGATTCTATGTCAATTCAAGGAGCCTATTACAATGAATTGGCAATTTCATACTTTAACCCCTAATATATCATGAATATGTCGTAGCCAACTGGGTAAAATATCCGTCTAATTAGGCGACTAGCCCTAATAGAATTGCGCCATTCATTTAAATGTTGCTCAGCTGAGTGACTAACCATCGATACGTTCTACTATAGTGCGGCTGTACAAAGCGCAGGAATCTGGTTAATTGTCAAGGATCATGACATGAAAACCAATTATTAATTTGATTAAATTTTAAATTTAATTAATAGCAAAATATCCTCTATACTCGAATAAAATTACTTTGATGTTCAACTTTGAAGAAACTACAATAAAAGGCTATATATATTTATTTATTTAAGGTACAGCAACAGCTATACATGTAATTAACCGACTAATATCCAATATGTTACAGTACTTAAAGCTATTTTTCCGATTCGAAACCAAGATGGAAAGAAAAACACAAATCTACTGTCCACACAAAACTTAATCGAAAACAGAATTCTACACAAAATTTTTGATCAAAACGACTACACAGCTTAAATAAGAATAAACGCCATCTAGTATTACCATTATCAGCCCTTTTACGTTCACACTAGCCCAACGTGGATTAGAAGGCATTAAGGACTGCAAATATCACAATATAAGGAAAATCTTTATACACAATATTAGATAGATTTATGACGATGACAAATTAAATTGTAACATTTTGATTCCCCATAAAAAGCTTCACTCCCATTTTTATCCCTTTAAGTGCTAGTTTTCAGGATAAAATATAACCTTTTACCTTCCTAGGGTCTCAAACTACCCAAATACCAATTTTAATCTATATAGTTCCAATAACAAAGGAGTTCCATACAAACGTTGTCATCCTTTTTGACCCCCTTCGGGGTGTAATTTCCAAAAATCCGTTCTTAGTACATCTCTACGTAATAACACGAATTTACCTTCCAAATTTCAAGTTTCTACGACCAGCGGTTTAGGCTGTGCGTAATCTGTCAGTCAGTACGAGTATGTCAGGACATCTCCCTTTATACATGTTTATAGATAATTCATATCAATCCATTGCTTTTCGTAGGTAAAGAAGGACAACGAGTAGTAGGCAAATTTTAGTGATTCATAAACGCAATAACTGTAACTTTTACAAACAGTTATTGTCACATTTTTAGTATGAACCACAAAATTTTCGTAGTAAAAAATTGCCTTTGTCAAAAAACCATACCATAACAACGCTACATTCCAATGTCAAATGTCGAAAGAAGAACAAATGAGCTAAATATTGATATTAACAGTATAAAAGCGATTCATAAGCAATTAGTACCGATATTTATACCTATCTATTAATATTTAAAAATATTATATTACAGGTGGATTTCAGTGCGGACGACAACGGACTTTGGGCGATATATTCTATTGAAAATTCTAACAATACCGCAGTAGCTAAGGTAATTTTTATTATTTTTACGATTACAGATTTACTCACTAAAAATGTAAGTACTCTCTCTTGTGATCCATTTTGCATTCACAATGCTATACTGTAAAATATTCTTAATGAAAAAAGCTTAAAGGTTAGAGCAATGGCCCGGATTGGCCCATCTCAGAGAAAAAGGGACAAAATGGATTTTTAAGCATTTATTAATTAAGAATATGCATTGTTATGTTATGTGATATGTCTGATGTTCCAAAATTCAGCCCTGACACTAGACTTGATGATTTCATCGAACGCCAAATACAATACCTTGTAATTAGAAGTAGGACCTACGGACACGGTCAACTTTACCCCCCAAGTAAAAAAATAAACCCGTATTTTAACCAATTGTCTTAAACACTTACTTTCAGTCGTTCTAATATCAAGTCTTATTCTATAATATTACTTTTTATTTCAAACATTATAATAAAATTGTAATCTTATACTACGTATTATTTCTTAACAAGCATGTTTCTATTTTTCAGCTCAGTTTCGATCCAAGCAAAGATGGTCTTAATATTGACTACATATGGAATATTTCACTAAACCATAAACAGGTACAAATTTTAATAGTCTTCAAAACGGCACGATATTTATATTAATAATGATCCAAGTTATATTTTAGAGACACAACTTCCCATTGTTCATTCCAAATAAAACTAACAAGGAAAGAACAAATATTAATAGAATAGTCAGAGTAGGTAGCAAACCGAACTGCAAAATGAATGAATGGTGACAGATTAAAGAAAGTAAAGATATTCGAAAATAAGAATGGAAATTAACCGTAGAATAACAACGTCCTGCTACTGAGCATATTAAAACTAATAATAACTCAACTAACTATGCTGAAAATATGAAACTCTTATATTTCTAATCGGTCACTAAACACTGTATTTCTACTTTAAGCCATAAGTGTAAAAATCGTTTTTTGCAGGTTGGAGAAATGTTTATAGTGTGTGGTGTGCTGTATGCTCTAGACTCAGCAACGGAACGAGAGAGCAAAGTGTCTACAGCTATAGACCTGTACCTGAATAAGCAGCTGGAGATATCCTTGCAATTTACCAACCCGTTCAGGAAGACCACGCAGCTCGGTTATGATAATACGCACAAGGCAAGTTTTACCTCTAAAAATTTACATAGCAATTTTGGCGGCACATTCGCCATTTACATTTTTATTCGTTGGTAAAACTTATAATGCTGTGTTTGACGCTGTATTTTTACAGTAATATCAAAGCAGTATCTTTTCAGTAAAATTTACATAATGAAACAAGTAATTTCAGCACATGTGTGACTAGATTTGCAGTAGCGTGCAGAGGGCAACTATACTTCCTCCTTTGAAAAGAGACCCACCGCGGATTAAAACCCTCCTTGCAGGATACCGGCTTCATCTATTCGCGTGAACCGCAACCACCAGGGCGGGGTTGCTGGAGATTATTTCCTACAGAGGACTACTATTTCCCCTGCGTTATAAAAATAGATTTTATAGTCACTGTCACGGCCTGTTACGGTGTCTGAAACGGCGTTAACAAGGAAGATTTACTATGCACACTAGTTACAGTTCAAAATTTTGGAGTCTTTTCTGAGAAGAACTGGCTAAACAAACTATGACAAGAAAAGTGAATTGCTCCCTTTGATTTAAAGTTTACAGAATGAACTAACTGTATCGTTTGGTTTTGCAATGTGTTATCTAGATTGAGATTTTATTTGACTAATTGCTAGAACCCTATTAAATTTCGGATGTTTTTTTATTTCAATAGCCTCTCGTATCATTCTAGGAATTATTTTTTGTTCAATCACAAGTATTTTTGGATTATCAAATCTTATGTAATGCTTGGGTCCTCCTAACGTATGTGCACACACACTGCAGATTTATTTTTGCATCTATACTTAACATCAGCTACATATTCCCTAATGCGACTACCTATGCTCCTCTTTGTTTGCGCTATATATAAGAGCCAACAGTCGCAGTCTAGTTTATATACACCTGCAACTTGAAAGGGAATATTACACTTGACAGGTCTTAAGAATTGGTTGATCTTCGGCGGCTTAAAGTAAGTATTGATAGAAGCTCGCTTCAAAAGCCTTCCAATCTTGTCTATGACGTCTTCATTTATGGAAGTACAGCAGGTTGAAATAATGCGATAAAACCGTTTAAAAGTTGTTTAAATGATGCATAGTGTGCGTGAAACTATAAGATCAATCAATATCTTCTTTTTCATTAAATCTAACCACAAAATCACAACTCTGCCAATTGTAGTTAATTTATTTTCATATGTAATAATTAGTTTTATTTCAAAAACGTTTTAATTTGAATTGAACATTTTATTTTACAGGAACTGTATTCGTGGGATAGAGGCAACCAGTTGACATACCCAGTGCGTTACAACGAATTACCTGGACCTTAGTTCATAGTTAAACTAAAATCATGCCTTATTTTTGTACGTTCTGTAATAAAATATTTTTATTAATGTTTTTTTTATGTCGTTAGTACACTTGATAAGTTTTTATAATTTCGTTAAATAATACTGTTTGTGAAGAACAAAACACAATTTGATAAAAAAAATACATAAAATAGATATCAAAAGACACGACTGCCAAAATCGAACTAAAAGTATAAGAGACAAGTCATATTATGGCTTGGCGAAACAAAATTTTGATGAAATGGTATTCAGTTTTTTTTTAATATATAGTCTATTTCACTCGGGATGATGTTACGTTTTTAATGAGACCCTATGATGATACATTATGATGAAATAATGAAACTCACATACTATCTACATATAAGTACATAAGTACGTTTTTTTGGACAATCGTATTTTGTTTTAATGATTACATATTCGAACGGTTTTTCAATAAGCCACATGTTTTACTTTCTATGCCCCGAAATTTTTGAAAAATCCAAGAAATATGTAACGAATAGTCGTAATACCAAATACCGGTGGTTGCAATCCGGCACAATACCTATCTATATTACCATATTATTATACCTTTTACCTACTTTCCATGTTATAATATACGCCTTTATAATATTAGTAATTTGGTAGGATACATGTTAAATTACCATGTCAAAAACTTTACAACGAATTTCATGGAGTCCTTTTAGTGGTAAAGTTCTATGGTAGAGTCAGTTGGTTATATCAGTGTGATTGATTGTCATCATTAAGGTCTCAACATACAATTTCTTAGATGTCTCAACAAAGATATTTATTTATATTTCCAAACAAAAAGTAACTTTGCTACAATGTTACATGTATGAGTGATTTTCTTTCAACACAAGTTTCAGTTAAATACTCACTTATTTCTTTTAGTATCTTTCAATCTAGTTTCATTGTTCATGATATCCACTAAAACCAAGTAGGTTATCAATGAAATTTTCTGTATACTGAAGTGTCTCTAGCTGTACACCTCTAGCCTAGGACTGGGTATGCTATAACTATGACTACATAGTTCCACGTGCATATAACAGATGGCGCTGTAAACCAAAAGTTATAGCAATGGAAAAGTAAAGCAAAATCGAAGCTGGGAAATAATTTAAAACTTGTCAAACGCAACTGACGGCACCGGCGAACCAGTTAAAAATTAAAGGCAATCCACTTATGCAGAATGAAGTAGAAATATTATTACGCCCTAGGTTATGCTGACAAAGTTATGATTTCGTGTCATAATTAAAATTATTAATCGTGGAAATGTATACAAATTAAAGAAGCAAAATTATTTTATATAAATACCAACAGAGAGAAAGACCTATTTTTAATACGGATTCTACAGGATAAATTAGGAGAAGCTCAATGGCACAGTAGTCAGCGCGTTTGGTCTGCAATAAGGAAGTTAAGCAACTTTCGCTACGGCCTATCATGAGATGGTTGACCAAAAATATATTACTCGAACTTCGCGCTTCAGAAAGCACATTAATTCTTTGCATTTTCCTTTTTTTTTCTTTTTCCTTTGCCCATTTGAACCATAAATGTTTTGTAAATTGTTATTTTTGTGTATGCAATAAACCGTTAAACCATCTATCTGGTGATGATGTGATGATGATGGTCTAGTTAACAGTTAATTTATTGAACATCAATAGTTATTTATTAGATATATGATGATATGGAAATTAAAAGATTCCGTAGAAATAGAAAATTTTACATAAAGAAGCCGAAGGAAATCATACATTGTTTCATCTTACTGTTAGTCATCTCGCCCAAGTCGTAAAAGTAGATCAAGGGGATAAAAGAAAAGGGTGGTTTTATGTTGTTTTTTTTTATTTCCGCTGTATAAGAGGGCTGATAATGCAAATACTTTCATTTAATTGGTGACATTATAACGAGTTTTAACAAAAAATCAAACTCAAGAAGGCGCGTTTGTAAAAGAAGTAAGTACCTAATCTACATGAAGCGTAATTAAAATCAAAAAAAGTATATGAATCTCTAAAGGTTCTGACTCAACTAAATTTCAATACCTTCCTCGTTAGCAAAATAAAAAAAAAACAAATATACCTAATTCTCTACAAAAACAGTTCATTGCACAATCATACTAGTTATAGATGTAAAACAAAGTGGTGTTGCCTTTTACAATCTAATTTATAGTTCAATTTCAACCAAGGGCCTACGTCTATGGCCTAAGGAAATTAAAGTGTTATTGCCTCCACAAGTAATACGTAACTGAGTAGATTTGAATTTCAAAGCACTACACGTAGGACATACATTAAATCGAGTAATAGGTCATTAACGTTCATAAAAAATGTACATACTAAAATGGCGCCAGTTTGATTATATTACATACTTGTTAAATGGCACTAAGTAATCGCTTTATTATCCACGCATCAAGCTACTGTTTATTAAAATAAATTAATTAGTGCGATGGAGAATTTTATTCATTTGTCAGGCTCATTTATCGAAAATTTAAAAAAATACGTATTAATTAGTCTGCTCTTAGGGAAGACAGTTAAATATACCTATAGTTGATTATTTGGATAAGTATTCCTTTTATTGTTAAAATGGTAGTAACATTAAAATTAATTTGATTACTATCTTATTCGATTACAAAAGACAGTTATACTTTCTTGCAATATAATTTTAAAAGCAAATAAAGTTTTCAAAAAAAGTGTAAACAAGCAAAAGCGCAAACGCCCTTTATAATTTACGTATATCGAATCATGCGTTCCAAATTCAAAACGCTGCACGCTGCAAGTGCTCTCCGAGCTCAAAAGCGGCAGGGCGCACCGTTCAGAATCCCATCTCAACCCCCCATTTTTCGCCACAATAGCCAGCAATACATTCCGTGACTTGGCAGAAGTGATGTCGAGAATTTGGCCCCCTCCGTGCGATCAATACGTGCGCACAGCGCCATCTAGCAAGCATCGCGCAGCCAAATTGCAGTTTAATAGTTCATTAGATCCGACAAAAATGGCGGGGACATACAGTTTAAATTTGGAACGGTATCGATTCGCGGACGCGATACGGGACTTTATGGTAATGCCAAAAAAGGTTCGAACGAATGATTTGATGGTTCAGATGAAAAATTTAAATAAAAATGACAAGTGAGAAGAATCAGGAGACGTACTTGTTAGGTTCATATATATATATATATATATATAAATTAACAAAAATTTATTATTCAAAAGCTATGCCTGACTGCCTATTTGCTTTGAATTGATCATTGAGTACTGTGCTATTACAATATTGTCTAGGATTTTGATGAAATTAAACCGTTATTACCTTTTGAATTAGGTTTTATTTAATGATCTCTATGCTGTAACACCATTGTGTTCGAAGTCGACTTCAATGCTGATTTTATTAAAGAGTAACACTGTTGTATCTAATATATATACTTCAAAGTACACGTTAAACCATTGGTCATAGCTGTTTTGACAATTATTGCTATACCCACCAATTAGCCCCAAAATCTGGTGTTTTTATATGACGTTTTCTCAATGTCAGTCCATGACCTGTATCCATCATTTGAATGGTTAATATGAAGACTTTAAAATTATGCCGTAATTCCTTCCTTCAATAAACTATCAGACTCAGATATCCCATGAAAAAGGAAGTCTCGCATTAATTTTGGTTAGTAAACATTGTGTCAATAACAACGTCCATCTTTATTAAATACCCCTCTGAAGGGCCTTCCCGAGCTCCTGAAATCTACTTAATCACAATAGTGTAAGCAGGATAGTGCTATACACATGTATAGTCG